TAGTTCCACGTGCCATGTTTGATGGATGTTAGTTATCAGTTATCTCCTGTTAATTTCCCTCTGAAAGTTCTCCACTGCCTTAACCGGGTATTGAACTCACACTCTTTGGGTCCTTGAGGACACATGGCACAGTGGATAAAGGCGTTACTTGGATCCAGTGACAGGTATATTGTTTTTTACATGTTACCTCCCGTACTGGGTATGACGATAAACTACATCCGCGTCCTGGGTAAGACGATAACTACATTCGCGTCCTGGGTAGGACGATAAACTACATCCGCGTCCTGGGTAGGACGATAAACTACATCCGCGTCCTGGGTATGACGATAACTACATCCGCGTCCTGGGTAGGACGATAAACTACATCCGCGTCCTGGATAGGACTATAAACTACATCCGCGTCCTGGGTAGGACGATAACTACATCCGCGTCCTGGGTAGGACGATAACTACATCCGCGTCCTGGGTAGGACGATAAACTACATCCGCGTCCTGGGTATGACGATAACTACATCCGCGTGCTGGGTATGACGATAACTACATCCGCGTCCTGGGTAGGACGATAACTACATCCGCGTCCTGGGTAGGACGATAAACTACATCCGCGTTCTGGGTATGACGATAACTACATCCGCGTCCTGGGTAAGACGATAACTACATCTTCGTCCTGGGTAGGACGATAAACTACATCCGCGTCCTGGGTAGGACTATAAACTACATCCGCGTCCTGGGTAGGACGATAACTACATCCGCGTCCTGGGTATGACGATAACTACATCCGCGTCCTGGGTAGGACGATAAACTACATCCGCGTCCTGGGTAGGACGATAAACTACATCCGCGTCCTGGGTAGGACTATAAACTACATCCGCGTCCTGGGTAGGACGATAACTACATCCGCGTCCTGGGTAGGACGATAACTACATCCGCGTCCTGGGTAGGACGATAAACTACATCCGCGTCCTGGGTATGACGATAACTACATCCGCGTCCTGGATATGACGATAACTACATCCGCGTCCTGGGTATGACGATAACTACATCCGCGTCCTGGGTAGGACGATAAACTACATCCGCGTCCTGGGTATGACGATAACTACATCCGCGTCCTGGGTAAGACGATAACTACATCTTCGTCCTGGGTAGGACGATAAACTACATCCGCGTCTTGGGTAGGACGATAAACTACATCCGCGTCCTGGGTATGACGATAACTATATCCGCGTCCTGGGTATGAAGATAACTACATCTTCGTCCTGGGTAGGACGATAAACTACATCCGCGTCCTGGGTAAGACGATAAACTACGTTCAACAGCAAGGCCTCAGATCAGGAGGTTTTGAGGAGCTTGGAACCACTTCTTAATTGCCGGTGTTCCCAGGTCCATTCTGAGCCCGGGTGGTAGCACCTGTTAGGGTCCCAGCTATGGGTAAATAGTTAACCCCCAAACTGGTGGCAAAACAATATGCAAGTGCAAAAATCGGTTTTAATACCGGAAATATTTCTTGTAGAAAAAAAAATTATTACCAGCAATAAATTTTTGAAGAAAAATTATTACCAGCAATACGTTATTATCAGCAATACATTTTTGAAAAAAATAAAAAATTACCAGCAATAAAAATCTTGTCGGCATAGTGTTAAAAATTGGCGTAAAACAAACCAGACCAAACCAAACATTTGACCTTCACTTAATTTTATTAACATTTCAATCTCTTTATATTTATATTAGATAAAAGCAGGACTTGTTGGAGAAGTCAAATCAATTTGTTTTTGTCAAATAGAAACGCAATTTACCGAAAATCTAGTCCGAATTGTAAAATAAAAATGCAATAAAACTATGACATTATTTAATTAGAAAAGCTTTTAGAAATGATATTATTACTGTTGTCTTAAGAAAAACATGTTTTCGATAAATAATGAACTTTTACAGGAATTTTTACCTTTTAAAAGTTTTTGTTACAATATGAATTTTTAAATCTTTTGAAATTCTGTAATAATTTCCGCCTTTTAAAAAAAGCGAAAACTATATTTAATAAACATAAATGGAAAAGCTTAATAAAATATCAAAATCATTTTAAAAACAATGGATTTTTTAGTGTATAAACGTGCCGATTTTGTAAGTACAGGCGACCATACAGGACATTAACGAAAAAAAAATAAATAAAAAAATAACAATAAATATAGTAAATTTAAAGCCGAAATTTCTAAAATTCAATAAAACATTAGATTATGGAGAATAATTTCCTAAATTTTTAAGATTACAGGGTACTTAAAAAATTATTTTAAAATGGCGCTAACTCCATTTTCTTTAATTATGTTCTACTACAGATAAAGTCTCCGTAGAATCGCCGGCATATACCTTTCTAACATTTACCTCTCTGCATTGATCTCATTTAATATATCATTGTTTGAATATTTAAGGTATCCACCTTTTGTGATAATATTTGTTGTTACCGCGGTAAAATAAAACCTAAGAAAGTTTTCTTATCAATAGAAACTGTTATGTGCTGAGAGACATTGAAATGAGAAGAGTTAATACTAAAACCCGTGGGAAGAATTGAGGATTTAATTCACACATAAACGACTTGAATTGTATGTTGAGCAGTTTGAACAATGGAAAAGTCACCCAGACTTAGGGGGCAATGTTGATTGACATACAGCTGCAAATGCAAGCTGTAAAGCAAAAATTTCATTTTTCGTAAACAACGAATATTTTGAAATTGGTTGATTCCCCTGGTCAAATATGGGTTGAAATACCAGGAGGAGGTGGATAAGCCACCCACACTCACTGAAGAGATTTAGTGAGAGGTAATAAGGAAGAAGGGAATTCAACAGAATTATCGAATTTTCTTATTCGTCAGTTTGAGCGAATGTCAATAAATACGAATGCGCCAAGCGAATTCTGAAGACGAGTCGCAGAAGAGAGAATAGAAGCAGAAGAAACGGAGACGAGACCGGAGAGAGGCCCACGTCATTATCTGCCGATGAAAGCCTCCGACTTCAGCCTTGTGTCAAACATTACAGACAAAAACAAACCAGATTTTGTCAGGTCAACAATAATATCACTTCCGATTTAGACGTGGGTTGGGCTCATAATTAATTGCAGGCGAACTCTGATATAAGCTTAGGAGTGATAATTAAAACAGTATTTTTTATTCAATTTATTCGCGTGTTATTTTTTTCTGTACGTCTTTGCTCTTCTTGGACCAGTCCAATACGAAGATACCTGCAACGATTCGGTCTTGGTCTCCTTATGATCAAACTTAAATCACAAGGTGGGATAGGGCAGGTCTGAGATCGAAGCGATCTTCATCGATCAACCGCGGTGTCCAACACCGCGGTTGACCAGGGGAGGGTGTTGTACGAATACATTTGTATACACACATTTTACTGCTGTATCTCCCTGAATAGGACCTCTTTCACCACGTGCTTACACACTGTTCTCAAACTGTAACTACATGCAACTTTCTTCCTTTTCTGAGAGCTTATCACTACAATCTTTATACACATTCATTTGAGCCAACTATTTGCTACCTCTCTTACGCATTTAGACCCACTCTCTTGCAATGTTCCTCCTCCGGCTGTCTTTGACATATTCCTTTCTTATTTCCTTTTTACCTTTCGTTTATTTGTTATTCACACGATAGAGGCATGGTGGAATAAAAGATTGAAGAAGCGGAGAGCCGAGTTCGAATTCCAGTTGAGTTCATTACATCCACTTACGTTTCCCTTGGAAAAGGTATGAGTTTTTATCTTCCCCCACCAGCTATGGGTAAATAGCAGGACAGACTTGGTTTTATAGCCTTGGGTCGAAACCGGTCTAGAATTAAAAACTGTGAATTCAAAATGGGTAAATAGTAGGATACTCTGGGCTCTGTAGCCATGGTTAGCAATCAAACTAGGAGAAGGCCAATTCTGAGCTCAAATCCAGGGTTGGAGTCTTTAAGATAGTTCCATGCCATGTCCAATTTCGTTCTAGGAAATTCTGCGACGGTATCGTTACGCAACTGTATTGGCCTCAGCCTAGCTGAATTGGCCTCTGACTTTCCCTTGAAAAACATCGGTGGTGTGGAGAGAGAAGACGCTGCCTGGGAAAATGCCGATCTTTCATCAAAACCTGTCCAGGCCTGCGCCCTGGAGAAGGTATAAGTGCAGATTTACGGTCTCTGTAGAACGACGGATGCCATACATATTCAGACTAAACTAGTCTCAAGTTTGTACTTCTAGTTTCACCCTTTTGGCTTTCAATAAATATGATGAACAGGATTTATCTTTAGAGTTTTTATTGCCGTAGGTCGTTTATTTAGCTGTCTGAGGTAGGCACGCTTGCAGGTCTGGCGCATACCAAGAAGCAGAACAATATGTGTGGACACGGATATCAACACCGGGCAGCGACAATCTTTCATGCTTGAACGCAATTTTCAGGCCAGTTGACCTCAGTGTCCACTTTTATATTTACATACGCTCTATCCATGATATTGTACACTTTTTACCTATACATATAGTCGCCATTAAAACTATATTTTTATCATATATACGTGTGTCGGTAATAAAAGATGAGTTCATATTTTTTCCAACAACAATTCCCTGAATGTAAATGCAACGAACGCGACTTGAATTCGAACTCTGCTCGCAGATTTATCGTTCCGAGACGTTAAACATTATCTTTCGAATTTGCTACTCTTTACGTGGTATATTTCTGTTATAATTATCCTGAAATTTCCCAACATCGGTTGGTTAATATCACTTTGAAAATATTGCCTTGCAATCTGATCTACTTTTAAACTAGTTAGATACTAATCATACCTTGATCATAAGATAAAGATGTTCACAAATTCATACACCAGTCCATGTAAATATGAGCCCCCCCCCCCCCACCTCCAACATATTCTCATTCACATGCAAACACACTGACTGGCACCATTCCGGACGTGTGCAATGGATACTGATTGTACAGTGAGGATATGTGACTAACTGTATTGATCCGGCCGTGGCACAAAATCTAATCAAGTGGCCATCTTTGAAAGTGGTAGGAGGAAAGGAAATGGTGGGGAGAGGTGGTAGGGGGGATGGAGTGCTGGAAGGAGGAGGATGAGGAGGAGGAGGGTTGAGTTTGGCGTGGGAATTGGAGGGTGAAGTACGAATAGAGGAGGGTTGGGTAAAAGTGATTGTCAGAATGAGGTCGGATCGGACTGAATTTGAACATAGCAAATAAACACATGGCTAAGCGGACCGAGTTGGATCGATGTGGAATAAAATATGATAGGAAATAGGCTAAGAGGCAAAGGGTGAATGGAAAACACTGGAACTTCGAAGAATCAGAGAGAGAATGAGAGAGAGAGAGAGAGAGAGAGAGAGAGAGAATATGAATCGGCGAAATATAGATTGTAAATAAAGAGTAAGTTTTGAAGAATTGATTGACTAGTATAGTATAAAAGGAAGTGGGAGGAAAATACTAGAAGACGTAAAAGAGTTAAAGTGGGAGGAGAGACACATACTTACGGACATACATACATACGCAGATATAGAGAAACGTACAAGCAAACATACACGCAAACATACATACATATATACACACATACATACCCAAACATATACATACATACACACAAATATGCATACACATAAACATACATATATACTTAGACACATAATTACATAAATATAAATATACCTATACACACATATATATTTACATATATATATTGTGTATATATCTCTATATATATACATAGATATAAACAGACATTATATCTACATTTATATCTACAGTCTACACAGACACAGACACGCACACATGTATATATATCGATGTACACACAGACACACAACTATATTGTACATAGAAATACATAGATATACACACTCGCGCATATATATAAAAACATCGATATATACATAAACACACATATAAACAAAATATATACACACACATACACACACACACACACATATATATATATATATATATATATAGAAAGAGAGAGATATATATCCACACACGTATTAATATATATACGTAGATATATACACAAACATATATATAAACATATATACGCACATATGTATATAAATATACACACACACAGACAGACACACACATACACACACACACATATATATATATATATACACACACACAAACGCATATATAAATACAGGGATATACACATATACACACAAATACGGGGCTCATACGAACATAAACATATGTGGACAGTATGGGAATTGATATATGTATATGTGTGCTGTTGTCTATATACATAAAAATCTGCCATGTCATCACTAATCAATGCTATTTCACTTTCAATAACAATTTTTACAAACAAGAATTTGGTTTACTAATATGATCCCCACTCAGTGGAGTAATGGCATGTATTTTCTTAGAATTTGTCGAATCTACTTTTCAAAACATTTTTACCTAAACAATAAAATTACTTCTGATATATTTATGATGCTCTATTAATATATATATATATATATATATATATATATATATATATATATATATATATATATAATGGACTCTCCTGTCGGTTTCGACGTATGAGGATCTGACAAGTTAATTGATTCAGTTATGAAATTTTGTGCGATAATCTTAAGTTTCACTTAAGACCCACTAGTGATTTACAAAGGAGGCCGCATATGAAGCAAGAGTAAGGATTGTAAGATGATATCACTGTTAGATTGGCTGACCTTTTAGATCTTGCTCTCACTTCTTGAAGACGATTCAGACAATTTGATGGAAAACTGCTAAGTCCACTAAAACCCGTTTATCCCCATTCTACCCTTTCCAAGGCTAAACACTCGAGGTATATTGACAGCTGACAAGTTGCTCTTCAGCTTGTCTATGTATCTTAGCCATGGGTGTCTTACATATATATATATATATATATATATATATATATATATATATATATATATATATATATTCATTAAATAAATTATAACCGATATGAATTTTAAACATACGCACAAACATACTTTGTTATTTTGTTCCATTCTTCGCATATGGCCTTTAGATCCAGGTTTGTACTGGAATTCTCGACATTGATTCTCGATTGGGTCTCTTTCAATCTGGGGATTGATTTGGCCATTTCAGGATATTTACATTATATTCAGAAAGCAATTTATTCGTAGATTTTGCAGTGTGCTTAGGATTATTATCTTGTTGGAAGAACCAATCAGGAGAAAGTTCAAGATTTTCAACCGAAATCATTAAATTTGCTTCCAAAATATTTTCATATGGTGCAACATTCATTCTGCGCATCTATTACTGATATGTTGCCAGGACATTTTGCAGACAAAATAAACATCTCCAAATAATGATTGTGCAACCATCAAATTTCACTGTTGGATAAATGGGATTTATTTTTATTAACTCAACATTTTTCTGTTTTCTATGCAGAATTAGGTATTATGCATCAGTGTACAGTTAATTATATGAAAAGTATGATTATTCCGGAGTTGGAAATGCAACAAATTAATGGTTTGTATGTGTCCGAATATATTTTTTATATATATATATATATATATATATATATATATATACGCGTAAATATGTATACTAAATATATATATACTTTATATATATATAGTATATATATCTATATCTATATCTATATATATATATATTCTGTATATATATATATATATTGTATATATATATAAATTGTGTGTGTGTGTGTATATATATATATATATACTTTATATTTATATGAACACTATCTATCTATCTATCTATATATATATATATATATATATATTTGGTTGGATAGACGTGAGTTTGTGACCCTGGGTTTCACGCTTTAGTGATCGTCAGACAAACTATGTTAGCTCTATCTCTGATATTGAGCGCTTTCTAATAAGTACCGCGCATATAATATATAAATAATTATACATATATATATGCATTTATTTATATTTATATACACTTTTCACACACACACACACACACACACACACACACACACACACACACACACACACACACACACACATATATATATATATATATATATATATAATAAAATTATTTTTTCTGATTTCTTTTTGAATATGTAGGTCTGATGAATTGATCGTATTTACGATTCCAATGGAATAAATTATGACCATGGAATATTAGTGTTTAAGCCTTTTTTATTATATCCTTACTCTGTCCTGGACATTGAGTTCTACCTGGATTCTATCCTCTTGGAATTTTTTCTTATATATATATATATATATATATATATATATATATATATATATATATATGTGTGTGTGTGTGTTTGTATGTGTGTGTGTATGTATGTATATATATTTGTGTGTTTTAGATATATGTACATATATGTATGTGTATATTAACCACTAATATTATTATCATATCTATCTATCTATCTATCTATCTATCTATCTATCTATCTATCTCTCTTTCACTATATATATATATATATATATATATATATATAGGCTTATATATATACATATATTGTTGTGCGATTGGGTGAAAAAAGTAATTGTCAGAAATGAATGGTGTTTGATGATGATTTATGAAAATTAATGCTGCGACTACAACGGCAATCAGGGGACTAGAAATTGTTTAGATTTAATTTAAACGCGTCTTTCTTTCTGACAGCCGTAAATCTCTGCTAGGTCAATTGTAGCTGACACACCTGAAGGTTGGATTTCCTCTTAATATTGGCTCTTTCACTCCTAGTAGTAGCGCCTTGCATCTCAGCGGCTTTATCACCTTGGGTTGAAATGAGGTAAAAAACGGGTTTGGCAACCATGATGTTCGTCAGGCTTCCTGTCTTGAGAATATATCTTAATTCTTAGTGTCGATGTCCATTGTAGACCGAAAATAGGGAATCTTCTATCATGTGACATCTGTCTTTGCTCCAAACCTCTCACTTCATTGAACTCTCCAATTTAGAAAGCATTGTTGTATTTGGATTCAGTGGCCGACATTGCCTCGAATTCACTTGCTGAATAACTCTGTTAGCGGCTGAGCTCCGCTAGATATTAAATGCCAAGTACCAATTTTCTTAAATCCGTGATTTTGCTCACCTGACGACTAATTCCGAACGTGTTGCTTTTTAATTTGGAGGCTGCCTTGGTAGTCAGCAGACGGCGATGATTGCAATGTTTTTGAAGAGTATGCCTCCTACCACAGCTCTGTAGTTTGTTCGCTTAGGGAACCTAATTCAATTGATTTACATAATCGATACTTGATCCTGCATTTTGCCTACACGTTTGGAGCTGAAGGGTATGGCATTTCTTACGAAGCTGAAAGTCGATAGAAATGTTTTGCGGTTCGTGCAACTGGAAATAATGTAAGAGTAAGAAATGTTAATTTTGACTACCAGCTTTTAAAAGATAAATTGTGAGAATAAAGTTTGAATCCCAAACTTTTGACAAAAGGCGACTTTAAATAGTGTTTTCTGCTGACATGAAGTGGAAAAATAATTTTGAATCACTTGCGAGATCTGCTGCTATTATTCATTGTCGTGGTAGACAATTTTTCTCACCAGAATCTATCTTACATATTTATAAGTCTATCATTTGTTCATGCTTTGGATATTGCTACCACATATGATCTGGGACTCCTGCTATATATTTATGGATTTTTGAAGATTCTTTGAATTTCATCAATATTATTGGTCCTGACGTGGCATCTCGGCTTCAGTCACTTTCCCACTGCCGTATAAATATTTTCATCGAAATTCTGAATTTTCCTCTAGGGGCATACTTTATTAATTTAAACGCAGTACTAGATTGGCCGTATGGTCTAACGATTTTACTGTTGGAATGCTTAGGTGTAATCGTAAGTTATACGCTAAGTTTCTTCTATTGCACTTCTCTCTTGTGGAACTCTCTTCCGGTTTTTTGCTTTCCAGTCAAGTTTGATCTTCAAAAATGCAATATCAATCATTATCTTGTCTGTATTCCTGTTCTTTTATTGTTCTCACTTCTTAATGATTGTTCGTTTTCTTATATTCTTTTACCCCTGCGTCTTCAAATCGAAGAAATGTTAAATTAATGTTTGTAAAGGTACGTACAGATAAAATGAAGTTTCCTCAGAGATTTGGATACATTTTCTTAGTCAATATTGGGAATATATATTTTTTTGTTCATATTTTTTAATAGCCTTTTTTTTTGTCGCAGAAAAGCTTAATGATTTCTTGTCCTATTGATGCTTTTATAAAGTTTTCATTTCGCCTCCTAGAAAACATTGTCCTGGGTCTGACGATAAACTACATCCGGCAGCAAGGCCTCTGATCGGGAGATTTTGAGTTGCGTGGAACCATCTCTTAATTGCTGTTGTTCCCAGGTCAACACCGGCCCAGGGTGATAGCACCTGTTACAGTCCCAGATATGGACAAATAGTGACCCCCCCCACCGCAACGATTATAGCAAAATGACAATGCAACACTAAATATAAAATATATTTTTATAGTAAAATTACCAAACAATACATTTTATGATAAACAAACTATATATATAAAAAGAACATACCTTTATTCTGAAAATATAAATTGTGTACAAAATATCTGTAGTTGAAAGTATAAGATTACGTACAAAATACTTAGATTTTGGCATTAAATAATCCTTACAGATTGATATACAACCAAATCAACCAGTCAAAACAACCAACAAAAAAGAACTCTTTCATATCATTAATCTTTATACAATCCTACAATATCTTAAATAATATTCCAAAATATAACTTCATTAAAAATCACACATCATCGTCTCTAGTAATTATGTCCACAGAAACATGTACCTGCACAAAAGCTGAGTATCATCTACCATGTATTCAATTGTGAAAGCAGAATAATATATATTATATTTTTATAACTTCAAAGCTCTGAAGAAAATTAAATTTCGGCATTAAATGACCCATATGGTGTTGATGTGTCGTTAAACATATATACGAGACTGCATTAGGATGTCTGTTGTGTGATAAATTAACTGAAATTCAACTGAAAGGTTTCAGTGGATAATATTTGATCTGTCGCTGTTGTAAACTTGTACGTCTTTACAAAAACTGTTATGGATGTATTGTTTTTTCAAAACACTCCTTAACGTTTATGAATTAGCACTTACTATTTTCAGACCAACATAGACATAAAGTAGCATACAGTACAACCTGTTTTGTGTGCTATTTTGTTTTAAGTGTGTAGTTTAGCATAGGTTGTACTAATGAATCCAGTCGAAACCCCAAATAGCTGCACCCATGAGAAATCTGTCAAACTTTTTTCATTTATTTCCAGCAAATGGTAATTTCTATTTTAATTCAAACTAGACAGAAGCAGGTGACAATGTTATAACAATGCTGTAGTGAAGGTGTTAATATTAAGCAATGACTGAAAAAATGGGTTTCTTTAGAAGTAAAATGAATTCTCTTTTTCTGATCTGGATACAGTTGTGTTGATCTGCTAGCACTTATACTAGCTTGGAGCACTTAAAAATTGTCATCGAGCAGACTGTGAAGTTGATTTGGGAGGCCATTAAGTGTAGGCGCAAGTAAGCCACTGAAACCAAGAGACAAATAATTAGATCAACACAACTTAAGTAAAAACTAAACTAATAAGGAAGGATTATAAATAACTTAAAACAAATAAAGGATGTCGACTCTGCAAGAAAGACATAAAACGAACCTAAGCAAAGAGATAAAATCACGTAAATCATAAGATACTATAACAAATAGCTTTCCATAGATCATTACTACTGTGAGTTTGGTTTTCCTTTATTACCGGGCACTGGATAAAGCTTAGCTTGGTCAATATATTAGAGTTGTGTTGGGAAAGTATTTCACCAGTTCAAATTAACAGTCAATCAAACATGGCAGAAAACAAGGCCGAATGGTAGGAAACTGCGTCTAGGATAAACTCCTATATGTCAAAGTTTAGATTTTATCGTTCCAGATTTTAAGTTTGATAATTTGTAAAGAGGTAATCTGGGGTTTTGTCTGCAAAATGTACCATAATCTGCAGGTAAGTCTTTTAAGCACGAATGCCAATCTTTCATTTTGGCATTGCTTAGTGACATGCGATGAAAATTAGGTTTTGCATGCAGTATATATATATATATATATATATATATATATATATGTGTGTGTGTGTGTACATGTGTGCGCGTGTGTGTGTATATATCTATGTGTGTATATATGTGTGTCGATAGATGTGTGTATATAAAATATGTGTGTGTGTGTGTGTATATATATATATATATATATATATATATATATATATATATATATATATATATATAGTATATCTTTATTCAAGCATGTTCAGTTTAATAGTCTGGTTTTTTTACACTATATATATATATATATATATATATATATATATATATATATATATATATATATGTGTGTGTATATATATGTATATATATCTGTGTGTGTATGTGTATGTGTATGTGTAGCATATCTTTATTCAAGCATGTTTGGGTTAATAATCTGGACATATGTCTATTTTATTTTAATCCTCTCGAATGTTCGGATCAATTTAATAATGATTTTAAATTCATTAACGGAACGTCTCCCCGCCCCTAAGATCTATTCTACCACTTCAGCGACGCTATTCAAGGGAACTTGATTTATTTCTGTGTACCATAACAATATGAGATACACAGATGACGTTGTTGATGGCCGATTCGAAAAGAAAACTTTAGGACCCCCCCCCTAAACAGGGTAATAGAAGAAAGCAAGAAAAAAAAATCAACCGCACGAGAAAGTATAGTCACTTATGCAATGTCAACGAATACTCGTTGTCACTTATGCAATGTCAACGAATACTCGTTGTCACTTATGCAATGTCAACGAATACTCGTTGTCACTTATGTAATGTCAACGAATACTCGTTGTCACTTATACAATGTCAACGAATACTCGTTGTCACTTATGTAATGTCAACGAATACTCGTTGTCACTTTTGTGATGTCAACGAATACTCGTTGTCACTTATGTAATGTCAACGAATACTCGTTGTCACTTTTGTAATGTCAACGAATACTCGTTGTCACTTATGCAATGTCAACGAATACTCGTTGTCACTTTTGTGATGTCAACGAATACTCTTGGCACTTTTGTAATGTCAACGAATACTCGTTGTCACTTTTGTGATGTCAACGAATACTCGTTGTCACTTTTGTGATGTCAACGAATACTCATTGTCACTTTCGTAATTCTCGTTGTAGTAGAGACTTTGTAATCGCAGATACAACTATAGTAACGCCGTTGAACAATACTGGTATCAGACGCCTTCGAATATCACTCGCACTAATAGTACTTGCTCGAATAATAATCCATATAGTGATCCGAATAGAGAAATAGTATAGTGAATAGAGTAGAGAATAGCGGTCCGTATAGTAATAGAGGATAGACTAGAAACATAGATCGTTAGTCTTCAGGTACTTCCTACATATATGTGTTTCCTCTATGGTCACGTGGTCTACTTAATTCAATAATGGGATCGCCTGTGTTTGCTCACTCGCGATCTATGTTCAAATTCCTATATAAATAACAGTTACCAAGAGAAAAATCCCAAGATGAGAATTACGAATTAGAAATTAAACAGGTGCAGAAATTCAAATATCTGGAAAGCGTTTGAAAAATGAGGCACCAAGATCTCACATGCATTGGACTAGCGTAAGATGTTTTCCAAAAAAGTGTTGAGTAACGTAAAATTTTCATTAGAAACCAGAAAAAGTGCAGGGTTGCAATTTGATATGCACCTTTTTATATGGCAGTGAATATTGCCCAATTTCCTCCCCCCAAAAAAACTAAGTAACAGAAATCTAGTTCTACAGAAGGATACTGAGAATTCTATTGACGGAGCGAGTAAGCAACAGGGAAGTCTGAAAGAAAATAGCGAAGGACACATACTGAAGATCATGAAAATAATGAGGAAGGACGTCTTGGAAAACCTGACCTTCACGAGGCTCTGTTAAGGGCAAGATAGCATGAGGCAGCGAGCCAAACATGTGTATATAGATAGCGAAACGTTAGCCGAAGCAAATAGAAAAACTAAGAGCCACACGATAGAAAATGACGATAGAAAATTTCCTGTGTCCTGAAGGGAAGCTGCATATAGAAGCTTGATTTATCAAATACAGCACTTTGTAAATTTGCATCCTGAAAAGATATCTGACTGAAATTGACTGATAGAAAGAATAGATTTTTGGTTTGATCTTACTTGTTTAATGAATGTTTAATAATAGGACTTAATAT